CCGGTGCCCCCCGGCTCCTCCCGGTTCTCCCGCGCTGCCCCCCGGCCGGGGAGGCTCCGGGGCACTCAGTGCCCAGGGGTTGCTTTGCCCCCGGAGACGGCGTGCGAACACCGTTTCCAAGTTGGGATTTGATTTTTTGCGGGTTTTTTTCGTTGTTTGGTTGGTGTTTTTTTTTACTGGCAGCTGGAGTTTTGCAGCGGGAGCGTGTGCACGGAAACCGGGACCAGCCCCGGCAGAGCGGAGCTCCGGAGCTGCCCGATCCCCCCGCCCCTCTCCACCCGATCCCTGACCCTGACCTTAACCCTGTCCCACGGCAAACCCCAGCCCTGACCCCCCGAGGGCACGAGGGGCAGGAGGGGTCCCTGCTCTTCGCTGCTCGGTGCCGTCCCAGTGGACACCAGTGACCTGATCCAACTGGTGTTTGGGTCCCTGCCGCGGGAGTTCACCCGGCGGAAGGAAGGGGTGGGAGAGGACAGGTGAGGAGCCCTGCAGGTAACCCCTGCACCCCCTCTCCCCAGAACCGCCCCCGCCGCCCCCTGGCAGCGACATCGTTCATCCCATCAAGGTTGACGAGAGCGGATCCTTCTTGTCCTACGACCTGACCCACCGAGCCCTTCACCGGAGGTCTCCTGCCTCCAGGAGCAAGTTCCCTGCCTTCTACGAGCTGCATTACAAAGGACAACCCCTGAAATTCAACCTGAGCCTCAACAGGAACCTCCTGGCCCCGGGCTTTGTCAGCGAGAGGCGGTTCGGGGGCATCGCCGGCGCCAAGATCCAGCGGCACACCTCCAACCCCTGCCACATGATCGGGGAGGTTCGGAGCCGGGCGGAGGGAGGGCTGGCTGCCCTCAGCACCTGCGATGGCCTGGTAAGTACAGCCCCGATCCATAACGATCCTTAATCCACAAGGAAGCAGGAGGAGCTAAGTCCCCCTTTCTGCTGAAAGCGATGGCAAAACTCCCGGCGGCAGCAGGGTCAGGATCCCAGCACGCAGGTCTGATGTGGCCGTGGATGAGCTGACTGTAAATTTCCCATGGATTCCAGTGGTTTGGGAACTCTCCGGGGCTGTGTTTCCTTGTTTGTGTCCAAATTCCCAAAGACAGCAATTCTCTGCCTTCTAGTACATAACTGTGTGGTTGTGAGGAGCACAGTGAGGGGCTCCGAGCTGGAGGTGTTAATGACAACACAGCTCGTGGGTACTGGAACTACTCCCTGTTTCCTGAACTCTCCCCTGCCTTGTTCCATTGTAGATATTTCCAAAGGTGATAGTGTGGAAGAGTAGCAGTTTTGGGGGAAGGGTGTAAAACCTCCCGTGGGTTCACAGAAGTGGTACCATGTAACTGGGGATGTGCAGATCCCCGTTCCCGAGGGGGCTATGGGATGATAGGGGCACTGGGGTTGGGAACCCCCCTGTGTCCCCAGCATGGGCATGGGACAGAGGGAGGGATCACCAGCAGTGCCTGTGCTGGTGTCTCCCAGTTTGGAGGGATGACAACTCCATGGGATCCTTGGTCTGCTGCTGCTCTCAGGTGGGGGCTGTGTTTGCTTTTTGAGCTTTCTGTGTTTGAATAAACAGCTTTCCACTGCCAGAGGGCAGAGTTAGATGGGATATTGGGAAGGAATCCTTCCCTGGGAGGGTGGGGAGACCCTGGCACAGGTTGCCCAGAGAAGCTGTGGCTGCCCCTGGATCCCTGGAAGTGTCCAAGGCCAGGCTGGATGGGGCTTGGAGCACCCTGGGATAGGGGAAGGTGTCCCTGCCCATGGCAGGGGGTGGAATGGGGTGAGCTTTGAGATCCCTTCCATCCCAAGCCATTCCAGGATTCTGTGATTCTGATGGTCACTCCCAGGCCCTTCAGTGTAACCCTGTGCTCGATGCAGGTGCCCTCACAGTGCCCCCTTGTCTCTCCTGCCAGAAAGGCGTGTTCCGGCTCCTCAACGAGGACTATTTCATCGAGCCCGTGGCCAGCAGCCCCCGGGAGGAGGGGGCAGCTCAGCCCCACAGGATATACAAGCGCCAGGCCCCCAAGGACGGGGCAGAGCAGGGCAGGAGCCCCCCAGCCCCCCGGGAAACCTGCGGCGTGCCAGGTACTGCCCCTTCCTCTGGCAATACTGGTGCCACCAGTGACTCAGTGTGTGCTGAACCCCAGTGTGTGCCTCTCGCTCTCCTCTCCTCCCAGCCCTGCAAGCAGGGAGATGATGGGCAGGCTGAGCCTTTGCTTTCATTCCCTTGAAAACTTCAGTTTAGACCTGCTGGGGTGTTGGACTTTGGGAGTGAAACCCAGTCACTGCCCAGGGGGTTCCTGCTGCAGGCAGAGAGTGTGTGTGGTTCCTTCTCTGTCCGGAGCACATGGGTTGGATAAACTCCCAAATGCAGGATTTCAAGTACTGAGGCTCAGTCCATTCCCAGCAGCTCAAGGGCACTGTACTCCTCGGTGAAGCTGCACCTTCCAGGCAGCACACCTTGGTTTGCTATTTCCTGGAGCTCTCTGCTTTCAGAAGCTGGGGGTTTTTTTGCTATGATCAGATTATTTTCAGGCATTCTTCTGATAATCTAAATTAATTATTTAATCTGTGGTAATAATCTTAATGGCTTCTTCAAGTCTTTGAAGTCTTTTCTTGACTCAAGTCTATTCTTGGCTTTGAAGTGTATTCTTGAAAATTAATTTCTCGGGGTGTACTATGGCCCGTGTGTAACTCATGTGGATCTCCCTTGCAGTCAGGGCTAGCAGGGTGGATGTGCTGGGCATGCCCTGGAAAGGAATCCCAAAGTCTGTGGGATTTTAGTGACTGCCACCCTTCCATCCTGCCCTGATGTACTGCTGGTTTGCTTTGCAAAGCACCACAACAGCCAGATGGTGCTGGGCTGCTGGGTGTTGTTTAGCTTCTGTCAGTACGTGGTGCAGCCTGTGTGTACAGCTGGGTGAGTGTTTGAGAGGGATCATCCCAAAGGAAAATGCCCCACGAGCCCCCCAGGATCCCTGGCACCCTCTGCTCTGCAGTACCCTCACGTCCTGGCTGGAAGCTCAGCAGCCAAGGACACAATGGAAACGAGCTCCAAGGAAGCCACTGCGATTAAACTGTCACAGTGGTATTAGCAATTCATCAAATTGTCCAGATAGTTGGGATTTTTCAGGCTGGGGGATCAAACGCCCTTTCACAGCTAACGTACAGTATAGCCCATAAAATGTAAAAGTCCATTGTTAGGGAAGAGAGGCTGAGCCTCCCAAACTGGTCGTGAAAGCGATTCCCACTGTGTGGGATGAGGTTTGTAAAGCCTTCGCCCAGCTTGGGGCTGACCCTGACCTTGATCTTGGAGCAGCGTCACAGGGAAAGGCTCCGCTGGAGAATTCCCAGTTGCTGGTGTGCGTGAGGAGCTCTCCTCCGCCTCCGGCCTCTGCTCAGCCCACTAAACATTCCCGTTGTTTCTCCTTGGGAAGGAGCAGAGTTCAGTCTCCATGTGCCTGAGGAAATCTCTGTGCTGTCCTGCCAGGTCTCGGCTCGCCCAGGGCACTGATGTCTGTGGGATTTGGCTCAAGACTTCAGTCCAGCTTTGGGGGCACAGAATTCATCCTGTTGGGAACTGTGCCTCCCTGAAAAATATAGATCTGGGATGATAATCCAAAATGTTGAGCCACCAGGGTTGTTTCTCAGGGTTTCTCAGGTTGT